ACATATATGCATATAAAATCATATAAACCTTGTCTTGTGTAACTGTTTTTCGTTTTTACCATGTAATGGTTTGAATGGCAGTAAACCATGTCTGAGCGTGCTAAATGAAAATAAATGAAGCACTTTGGCAAAAATAATTGCTCTTTTTTCTGGATTAGCATAACAACCCAAACGCCTATTACAAAATCTGGTGCAGAGCATGCACATAAACACAAGGGTTGTTGCAGATAATGATTGACATCAATTTACGTTATTAATATAGTCAGCGTTATTAGAAAAAGTTTACTTTGGTTATGACAATCACTCTGTTCTTCCAGATCTGTGCCAGTGGAGTGCATGGAGTGTTTGGACCGTATGTGCAGAGCCATGCAGTGGTGGAGTCAGGCAGCGCTACAGATGGCCCTTGGCCTCTCCTCTAGGGCCCCGCTGTAGGAGTCAAGAGACACAAAGTCAGAGCTGCAACACAGGGCTATGTCCAGGTGCAATTACACTTTATTCATCAATTCAATATTCAATATTCGCCCTAACAACTGACGATTGGTGACCTACAGTATTCACACATGTGTCTATAAGCTTGTTTTGTTTTGTGGAGGAGTTTGGGCTGAACAAGACTTGTTCCCTGTTCTATTCAGTTCAGGTTAGATCTAGTTCATTTAGATCAGGTCAGCTTAGTTCAGTTACAAGCAATCCAATTTAGATGAATTCAATAGTGATCTCAGGATCTAAAATAAGTATTACAACTTAAAAATCTAATTCTGATCCATGCCAGTTAGTGAAGTTATCAAACAAAGCCAGCAGATCGTGTCAAATATTCATTTCATCGCAGTTTCACAATCTGAGCAGCACACTAGCAACATTGGAAAAGAAGAACACCGTTATAACAGAAATAAACTTAATTAAAAAAAAAAAAAAAACAGAAGCAGGCTCACAAAGAGCAGTCTTCTTGCCTGACATGGTTTTGAGAGGACAGGAAAAACACCAAAATATTGGTCCAGTTGTAGTTTCTATGGAAATAAAAATACAGGTATAGCAATATTTGCATGTACAAACATAAAGAGTAAAGACAGCAGCAGAGTTAGGAAATGTATGTTTGTCCTCCAGCAGTCTAATTCTGTAGCACCGTAACTGAGAACAGCTCAGAAAACCCAAGCTGACCACAACAATAGGACTTAGCAAAAATAAAATTATTGGCTCTAGTTCTAAAAGTGAACAAACTTTCTTAGAACAATAGGGACCACAAGTAAACCTGCAGTCTGAGAGCAAAGTAGGAAAATATGGAACAAGAAGAACTTTGTTATAAGATGGAGCCTGTTTTTTTTTAGAATGTGTATGATAAAAGCAACATTTGGCTTACTATTCTGAATTTTACTGGAAGCCAGAAAAGAGAAACTAAAATCTAAGAAATACGGTTTCACCTTATGTCATAGTTGTATGAGGTTCGGACCCAGAAAAACAGACCCACAAGGGGAGTTTTAAAATAAAGCTAAACTTACTGTAAAACAAAAGGTTGACATGGCCGCAGAACTTACAGGCTGAGGGCAGGCACAAGGAGGCACGAAGCAGGAAAAATGTTCTCCTGTACGCTCCCCTGTGGAAATGAACGCAGACTGAGAAATGACTATATGGATTGAGGCTAAATGAACACATAGGAAACAGCTGAGCTTAACGAGACAGGGTTGTGAGTGGGCTTGGTACGAGTGAGCAGCAGAGACTTACAGAGAAAAATGCTGACGTGACTGGAAACACATGGAGGCAAGGAGCAAACTAAACACAATGAAAACGCACCAAGACAAACACAAGAACCAGACCTGAAAACAACACGTAAAACACAAAACCAAACACTAAAAAACACAGATGATAGCTTCTAACCCTCATAACTTATGTAAAATCATTTTGGATCTACTGAAGATTTTTATATATTTATTGAACACCCAGATAATAAAGAATGTAATCATTTTATACTTTGCTAAATTACATTTCTAGTGACTTTCAGCCCTTCAGTTATTCTCTGAACAAACATGGAGACTAAATCAGATCTTTCCATTTATCAGGGTAATCTATATTTGACCATAGTTAGGTCAGACTCCAACCGCTCTCCAGTCTGTACAGAAGGGTTACCAAGTTTTGGTTGAAATGATGAAGTTGTTTGAACACACCGCTCTCTTGGTTTGGTAATACACTCAGCTTAATCTGATAACTGTAAATCAGCTGCAATGGGCACCAACAGTTCATGCTCATTAATCCAGGTACAAATCCAACAATGTTCAGTCAGGTCATCTGGACGGTTTCTTTTTTTTACTGAGATGTTTCATCCTTCATCCGAAGGACTTCTTCAGTCCAAGAAGCTAAACAAACTGGAGTCCCATAAAAAAAACACACTCTCATAGTGGGAAAAATATACAGTTTGCTGGTGATAAGATGGTTTCTGGGGCACGGCCTCTCCCCTGTCAACTCCTCTGAGGCAGTCATGCCAAAATGGTTCAAAACACCAACAGTTCATGCTCATTATTCCAGGTACAATCCAGGTATGGCTCAGCAAATAAAGCAACCCTCCAGATGACCTGACTGAACATTGTTGGATTTGTACCTGGATTATTGAGCATGAACTTTGGTGTTTTGAACCATTTTGGCATGACTGCCTCAAAGGAGTTGATGGGGGAGAGAGAGGGCCCTGGAGGCCATTACCAGCAAACTGTTCTTTTTCCATTATGGGAGTGTGGTATTTGTGGGACTCCAGTTTGTATGTGGCTTCGCTGAATGATGAAGTCCTTTGGATGAAGGACGAAATGTCTGAGCAAATAAATAAACCGTCCAGATGACCTGACTGATCAGCTTCTCTTCTGTAGCAACTCGTACGTTGTTAGCTGTTTGCTTTCTGCCATCATGCATACCGTGCTTGTGCAAAAATGAGTGCTTCTGTTCACACACTTGATCTTCCCTATTGTCCCAGCACATGATCATTTTGAAAGCTGGAATTTGTAGGAAAAAAAAGGTATTTTAACCACCTCATTCCTTGACCAACAACAATTCCTTACAGAGTAGTTTATAAGCTGATGGTGGAGGAGGCAGGAAGAAGGAAAAGTGTCACCACAGAGAATTATTTTTATCTCTTAGGAATCTTAACAGGCAGTGGCTTTACTGTGTTGGACAAAACCTTAATGCAAGAATAACATTGGTGCCTTATGATGCACAGCCTGAGATCATGGACATGAGCATCATAGTGCTGAATAACTTCACAACTGATACAAAATATGTGTTGGACATATAACTTTGTCTGGTCAACTGTAGAGCCTACCCAATATGGACATTTTGGCTATCAGTGATACCGATATTGGGAGGGGAAGGCTAATGCTAATAACTGATATAATGGCAGAAAAAGTTTGAGCTGTATTGCTGCTTGCTTCGGCTGTGCTGTGAGTCAAATGTGCAGCAAGGACATGACTTCAGAGTAGTCTGAATGCGCCCTCTGCTGGATACATTATACAATTACGCCATTTGCAAGTAAGGACATGGCTGGTTCCAGCATTTTAGTGGTGAAAATTAGAAATGTTTACATTGGTGCATAATGAGCCCATTATCACAGATACTGATATGTCCTCAAATGCCTATATTGGTCTAAAATATCGGTCCTACCAATATTTCGGCCGGGCTATAGTCAACTGTGTGCTGTTCTTTTTTATTTCACTTATGTCAGTTGTTGTTAACTATTGAAACATGTACCATAACCACATGGTGACATGAGAATTGCTTTTAATTTATTTCTTTCATTTTCTTTTCCTCTTTTTGTTCTTAAATTTGATGATTTGCTTGATCTTAGTTGATACCAGAGGCCATATTTCAAATGTAGAAATTTTCAAGGAAGTCGTTTTAAACAGCAAATGAAAAAAATTAAAAAGATGCGTACACATCAATGAATAAACTGATGAAAAAAGCCATACTCTGTAAGAAGCAAAGACAACGTTAGAGGTCAGAGGTAAGGGCAGGTAGAGACAACATTCATTCACTTATGATATATATGATATGAGATAGATAGGTTTGTTTTCACTCTTTAGTTAAAGAAAACCCCACAAAATTCACTGAAACTGGTTGAAACTGACAAAAGTAACAACGTAAGAAAGATGACTGAAAATAAATTAATGCAAATCAGATATTACTTCTGATTTTTGTTAAACAAAATAATTAAACATTTGACTGTATTTGACAGAAAGGATGGTACCTCTAGAAAAGATAAAGTAAACTGTTTGACCACAGAGATATGTTAAGATCTGTCCTGAATTTATCATCACCAGTGTCTCCAGTCTTGTAATTAGTCACAAGTCATGACACATCGTGACAGATAGAGAGCTAAAGCAAAGTTTTCTACAGTGCATCAGAAATGAACACATGAAAGTCACACCCTTAGGATAAACATCTGTCAAGGAGCTGACAAGAGGAGTGATAGACGCTTTAACCTTCAGTCGATCCATCAGGTTTTTAGCAAATTGCACTTTCTGAATCACCTTCATGGTACAAAAATACATTTCATGTTGGTCAAATTTCCTTTTCTGTGCAATTGTCATAAATCTGACGAAAGAAATAAAAACAAATTGTGTTTTTGCAAATGCCTTGGCTGCTTGTTACAAAGTTTTCATTCAACCTTTATTTAGACGGTTAATCTCATTTACAAGAGAGACCTGATTTCAACAAAGAATGATGACAACAATGGACAACAATGGATATACAATACAATGCATAATTTAAAAAGTGTCTAAAGATATCAATAAAAGCGAGGTTCAAGGTTCTTTATTGTCATTCGCATTACATGTGGTACATGAGGTGGAATGAAACTGGGTACTCAAGGTCCCAGTTACACCCAAAAATATAAAATATAAAAAGAAACAGTATATTCATCCATCAGTCCATCATCTTTACCTGCTTCTTTCTTCTCGGATCATGGGGGTCACTGGTGCCCATGTCCAGCTGTCACTGTGAGAGAGGTGTGGGACACCCTGGACAGGTCTCCAGTCCATCACCGGGACACATAGAGACAAATGAGCCAAACAAACATTCACTCTCTCACTCTCACCTAGGAACAATTTAGAGTTACCAGTCAGTCTAACATGCATTTTTTTTTAGTCTGTGGGAGGAAACGAGTACCTGGAGAAAACCCACGCACGCTCGTATAGAACATGCAAACTCCACCCAGAAAGGTCAGGGATCTGATCCAGCAACATTCTTGCTTAGAGGAAACTGCTCCACCAACTGAGCCACTGTGCCACCCAATTGTAAAAAATAATTATAAATTTTTAAAATAAACAAATATATAATACTGTAATAACAAAAAATAAAAAAAATTAAAAACACTCAGAAAACCCATTTAGCTTTAAAATATTGATGGCTTGGTAAACCCAAGGGCTATGGCTCGTGGCTTTGGTACAGCAGTGGTAGTTTTATGGCCATATTAGGGATGTTCGATCACAGATTCATTTAATTTCAGCTGCCTTAAAAGACAAACTGTTAAAACAGTATTAAATATTTTTTCTCAATAATTTACTCCCAATTTTATTGTTTGAACTTATAACCCTAACCCTGCAAAAAAAAAAAATCCTACAACTTCTGATTGTTACTTTCATTAGTATTTATTTTTTCGCTGCTGCAGACCAAAAACAGATGTTAATGGTTTTGTCCATGTATGTAATTATTTGTTAATCTGAATTTGTGAATGAATCTGTGTGTTTGCAAAAATATCTCATGAACTAAGGAACCGATTTTGTTACTTGCAGAAAGTAAGCACTGAATATACGTCTGCAACTAATTAACTTCTAGAGTCAACTCAATTCAAAATGTCCACTAGAGCCAGAATCTACAGAAGCATTTTGCCAATAAGGTGTATGTTTGCAAAATATTAAAAGAAACACTGGACTGATTTTTGAGGTGTTCATCACGTCATCACTAGATCTACATTGACAACTTATTAAACTTTGGAGTCAGTTGATTTCAAGATGGCTGCCACTCCCAACTGACTTGGGAAAACAAATGTATCTTTGATTCAGTGAACTTTAGAAATATTGTGCTATTTTTTTTGTGTTGCAGTAGCTGAATTATTAAAGATAAGTCCAATGTGGTATTCACTATGCAGGATCACCCAAGCCCATCTATGTGAACCACAAGAGGAATTTTAGTATAACTCCAAATAATCACAGGAGGTACAACTACATGTATGCCTTTTGGAGGCAGTCCCATTAAGATAGCTGCCACAGCTATATGACAGGTAGTTAATACTATTGATATTTAGCTCAAGTTTGATGTGGTAATAGTTGAGAGTCCTGCACAATACATACTCTGAACATGAAATTTTATTTTTAGTGATTGACCAATGCCACAACAACGTCATTGATTCTCAACATAAGAGGATACTGAATATTTGTTTCCATTGTTGTTTTTTTTTTTTTAAATATTAAACAGTTGACTTCTTTCTTCTATTGATAAAATATGAAGAAAAATAAATTTTAAAATTGTTGCCTAGGTGAACGTTGTGAGGATAGGGAGCGAACTTATCAGGAGAGATGTGCTAATCAGTGTCCTCGCAGTTGTGCTGACTTATGGGATCATGTTCAGTGTCTCCAAGGAACTTGTCACTCTGGTAAATATCAATAAGACACAACGATCTTAACATTAGACTCTGGTGGCTTTTTCACCCATACTATTATGTGTTGTTTTCTGTGTTCCTTTATTCTTAGGTTGTCGTTGCCCAGAAGGACAGTTGCTTCAAGACAGCCACTGTGTGCCAGTACAAGAGTGCCGCTGTGGTATCCCATCAGGCAATGGGACATTGGAGTTCAAGCCTAGAGAGGAAGTGGTCATCGAATGCAACACCTGGTGCGAACATCTTTCTGTGCTGTGGATTCTTTCATGATTGTTTATAGTTAGAAACACTTAAGTAATTATAGAAGATCTCGTATTTCGAGCGGGTGATACATTCAAAGCGGATTTTGTATACTGTTCTTAAATTGTTGGATTTATACTTCAACAAGACATGAGACAACTGATCTGTCATTACATAGTTTTGGATGTCTCACAGTGGGTTTATAAAGAACAATGGGGGATAAACCATAATTCCTCCCTCTGCCCTTCCACAGCACTACCATCGTAACACATGTCATGTGCATAGCTAAGCATCTAAACAACAGTGATAGCAGTATAGATGTTTTTCTTTTTTTCTCTTTATGATGTATCAGATAATGGAAGAAAGACTCATGTTGTTGAATGAGGAGGAGAAGGAATATATGGTATTTCAGTTGTTAACCTGCAGAGATAGAAAGGAGACGTGGATATCAGTGGCATGTTCGCCCGCTCAATAGGACCAGACATGCAGAAGAAGCATGCACTGCTCCGCATAAACAAACACACCCACAAAGTTCCGACCAATCATACAATGAACGCTCCATATCCTGCAAGACACAGTTCTGACTGGGTGCTGCGTACAAGACAGGATGTCAACAGGTAGTAACAGGCAGAATCTATACAGTTTTTGTCAGGCAACAGTGTAAGCGAGATGTGATCACTTCACCACTTGCTCTTGCCGAGGTTGGACACTTTTTTCCCCTCCCTCTCCGAATTGCTTTGCTGCTCTGTCTGTCTGTGAAACTCTTTTGAGCCTCTCTCTACATGTCTTTCGAACCATAATTATGGACTTGATTTGATCAGTTGGTCCCTTAACACAATTGCCGACATTTCTTGGAAGAGAAGACAGGCTTTAGGTGAGCCGATTTACCCTGTTGGCACGCACACAGCTGGATATCTCATCGACTTGGAAGACTTGATGAAGTGTCTATCTCTGCTGCCATTTGTGGATTTTAAGGACACATTTATAATTGGATTTATGATAACTGGTCCTGCTTTTTTGATTCAGCTGGTCGCTGGTTTATCTACAAACAAGGAAGTCGTTGGCAGCAAATTTGGACCCAATCATGCTGCTTGCATTTATGATGGCTTGGTTCGTGCCCCGAGAACCCAGACTCAAAATGCTTTTGGCAGAATGGATCAGATCTCGGGGATTTTACTCAGGCACATTATTATGGTGTGGCCACGTAATTTGGACATTTCGGAACCTGAGTGAACCAACACAGACTCAAGGTAGACGTCATTAAGTTCTGCCTGTTCCCAAAACAACTGTGTGTTTATCTGAATTTGGCTCCCTTGGCTGGCCTTAAAGGCCATATTATCTGAATTCACCTTGGGAACATGTAATCGGATGCTCTGCCCCTCCCATTGAGGAATTTCCAATCGATAACCAGAGGAAACCAGTTGAATAAACTTTGTGTCATCATTTCAGGACTCTTGGATTCCCATAGGTGTTGTACCTGACCATTCCCTGACATCACTCGAGAATGTTTACGGATCTCACCATAGGAAACTGGTTGATTATTCCATCCTTATCAGAACTTTTACAGTGTCTTTGAGTGCATCCTTGGACATTACTCACCGCTTTGTCCCCCTGCAGAATGTCTACATCACTATGTGCTTGTATGTGCAAGGTGTTTTTTTAATATTACAGTTTTCCTTCTCAGTCAAGAAGAAAAAGTTTAATAGGATTTTTTTTTTTTTTTTGCTCTAAACTTCTTAAGATACTTCTCCATGGGTGTGGCTTTAAACAGTTTACATTAACTCCACATTGGCCAATTTTGTCTCCATCATCTGTTCCTGCTCAGTTTTTGGACCCGCTTCAACTGTGGTTTCAAGTGAGCCGAGCCGAGCAAATGATTTTGATGTCGGCAAACTGCTGCCATTGATTGGCTAGTGAGCTCCACAGAGTCATGAGGAATGGACGAGTATACAAGGTGGTGTCTGAAAAATTGGTCACCCACAGCTACACTTGCATGTAAGGTACATGCACAGTACCTGAACAACAAAAAAAAAAAAAAATCCAACTACTTCCATCCTTGCACTGACTATCCTGTTGAGGATTCCACCAACAGAGTGAGGGACACACTCCCAATTTAGACACACCTACACTTGAGTAAAACTGAATAAAAGCAAAGCAATTAAAGTGGTTCCTATCAATGGAGAATTGGCTTTAGTTAACTTGATAGCAAAACATATTCCCCAGTATGGACGGGCTATTCAGAGGGCACACAGCTGATACATACCAAGTACAGTATGTTCAAGTAGTGGGCTGTGCAATAAGTGGGTGGTAAGTGCCAGGTATGTGTACCCTGTACATACGCTGTAAGTAAATCATACCATGTACGTACAATTGAGTATCACGTACAGACAAGGTAAGTACTAGGTATACACCAGCTACATGCAGGTATGTAAACATTGTACTAAAGGTATACAAGTACTTACCAGATAAATTACCTGCCTGTGAAGAACCAGTTAAGTACCCAATACGTACCAGGTACATAATGGTAAGTACCAAATATGTACCCAGTAAGTACAATTTTTGCATTTAGTAATGCCCAGTACATCCTCAGTAAGGATCAGGTTGTATGATGTACTGGTGTCAAGAAATATATCTCACTTTTTTAAATCTTCACTTTCTACAGTTTGTGTGAGAATGGAACTCTGGTTTGCACCAAGCTTCCCTGCCCAGTTTATGAACCTTGGAGTCCGTGGAGCATGTGCACAGTTTCGTGTGGACATGGCCAAAGAACAAGAACACGAAGATGCCAGGACACAGACGGTGGTCCCTCCTGTTCTGACACTGAGCAGATAGAGAGCTGTGATCTGCCATCTTGCCCAGGTCTGAAATGTTGGAAATAGTCATGTTTTGAGGAAAACATCTCAATTCCTCTAAGACATATTCATCTAATAATAGTAAATAAACACATTTACTATTGTATCCTCATGTAAGATCAGTCTACCATCTCTTTTCGTGTAGTGGGTTGTTTCTTAAGTGGATGGTCAGCCTGGAGTGAGTGCAGCACCACCTGTGGTGGTGGGGTGTCAGTGCGGAACAAAACAATCATTCAAGAACCAGAACCTGATGGGGCAGCCTGTGTTGGACCACTTGAGCAACATACAGTCTGTAACACCAACAGCTGTCTGCCTGGTAATCCACACACACATTAAAAGTTTATTTTGAAATTTGATTTTTTTATTATACTTTTGACCCGTATTTCTGTTTGTCTGTTAAAAAAACATCTCATGAACCACTGAAAGTATCTGAATGAAACATTAAGTAATCACTTAATGCACATCTACAGTTGATTAACTTTTGAAGTCAACCTGCCGCCTCAGCCAGTCATTCCTAAAAAGCTCAGAAATGTTAATTCTGTCCAATTATACAAATATTAACTCAAAAATACAATGCAAAAGTAGCTTAGACCTGTCCACTTAATAACAAATTGCTCAAGAAGTTTGTTTGAAATTTTGGTATTGCCTATTTGGAGTTCATAATGTCAGTAATGACAGATTTGACTGAAAACTTTGTGTAAATATTCCACAACATATACTCTAAGTGCTATGCAGTGGAAGAGAACTTTCTTTTAGCATTAACTTTAGTAGTCAGTCCTATTAGCAGAAGATCTCATAAACTACTGAGCAGATTTTAATGAAATTAAGAAGAAAACCATTGGTTATACATTTTCAACTGCTTCAATTTTGTTGGTCTTGAACTTCAGTCAGTCCACATTAGCCAACACAATAGTAGCTATGACAGAGTTAATTTAACAGATTTTGAGGAAACGTCATGTGGTGTTAGTTGAGGGTCATTCACTACACAAAGTCTGAGTGTGATATGTTACTGTATTGCATGACACTGCACATGACAGTATAGTCTAGTTTTGATCAAAATGGCTACAACTCTGTAAATGTCATCATTAAATGATCTTTCTTGTTATAAAGGTGGTGAGTGATATGCATTACTTCAAGAAATGCTTGCCTTTTAATTTAGCAAGACAATATGTTACTTTATTCCTGAGTGATGATGTAATTAGTTTATGTGTTGCAGAGTGTCCCCACCAGCAGATGTACAGTAATTGTGCAAGTTCTTGTCCGTTTACCTGCGAGGACCTGTGGCCACACACCCAGTGTTTACCTGGACCCTGTACGGCAGGCTGCATATGTCCTCCAGGACAGGTCTGCATAACTCTGTGTGTCTATGTGTGAAGAGTGTACTGTATGTGGCTGTCAATAGTCTCTTTGTGTCCTGTGTAGGTGTTATATGCAGGTTCCTGCATGCATCAGGCAGACTGTCCCTGTTCAACACTCTCTCTGCCCAGTGGGTACCACAGCTGGAATATAAGCACTGAAGGCTTCTATGAAGCTCTGCTGCAACCTGGAACATCTATTCAGCACATCTGTAACACATGGTAATTCACTGTAAACATCTACAGTATCGGGACTGACAAAGATTTACCTGTCTAGAACATGTATATATCCCTGTCAAAATGACAGGGTTTTTTTTTTATTAAAGAGCGTGAACCATGAAAACTTATTTCCATACTTAACCAACATTTACCGTCATGTGCAGCTGATCCTGTGCAGTTCACCTGAAACAAAGTTTGTTCTTGAGAAAAATAGATAAAAATATTAAAAGATGCAGCTAGTTGCAAAAGTGTGCACACCGTTGATCTGCCAATGGTGCAGTTCTGAGGTTGAGGCATTTCCAACATTATGCATGTGTTTCATAACATAATTACTACAAACATAGAGGCACTCAGGAACTTGATAGAGCTTAGAGCTTTATGTATTTGCTAAATAAAATAGCTGATGTGAAAAAAACGAGTTGTTGCTCATGAAGGAGTGTTTCATATGCTGTGTAGGGAAAAGTGATCAATCTGAGCAACATATGGACAAGGCTATTTAGTACAGCTGCCATGGTATGGCTCAGGGACGAGTGTGATGAAAAAAATGGGTGTTTGTTCAGTGTAGTCCCCAAAAACATGTTGCCTTCCAATTCTATTGGTGATGTCCTCCAGTAGCACTACAGCTGCAATTGTTCCACATTTACACACATCTTTACACAGCCACTTATAAAATAATATATTGTCTGCACCTTGTCGATCTGAGCAATCATCACAAGTGAGTTGCTCTGACTTACTATGATAATCTAAGAGCAAATACTGTCACTTTGTTTTTACTTTTTATTCTCCAGTGTGTGCCAAGGTGGAATGTTCAACTGCACTTCAGAGGCTTGTGATGGTGAGTAATGTGTAGCATCTAATTTGATTTACTTCATAGGGCCTTTATAGGAAATCAAGAACAATGTCTCATTGATGTACTTTGTATATGAATTGATGGTTCAGTTAAAAAAACAGATCTCAACCTGACTGAAGTGTTGTTGTGACCTTAAAAAAGTTGTGCAAACCTATCTATGTCTTCAAACTAACGAACTAAAGCAATTTTGAAAAGACAAGTGGGCCAAAATTCCTCCATAACCGTGTGGATAAAGGCATACAGAAAACCACCACTGAATTATTGCTGTTAAAGGAGGGTATACAGACTGAAAGATACAAGCTGATGACTTGATGTCTGGACTTTTGTCCACTAAGCTTTTCCATGTTGGCTTTGTTTTTGCTTAATGACATATCATGTCCTGGTAAATAAAACACTAGAATTGGCCATAAAAGTGATGGAAGACTACAAGGAAGTAAGCATGCCTAGAGACAGAGGGAGAAGAGGAAAGTCAAAAGTGTAGGACTGGGGATAACTTTAAACTTAGGCACAATGACAAATGCAGAGTGCTAGCTGGCATGATGCAGCAAAGGATGGATGCATTATGAATGCAAGAGACCAAGTGGAAGAGCAGCAAGGTTTACATACTTGGGGAACATTCAAAAAGCGTTCAATACAAAAACAACTGGACTTTATTTGTAACAGAAGACGTTTCGCTCCTCATCTGAGGAGCTTTCTCAATTCAAACAGCAGAGAGTGAGAGATTCAGGTTATAAGTCTGAGTGAGATAAGACACACACACACACACATATGTAGAGTGGCAATTCACACCTAAACACCTTAACAGTAGGGGTTTCTTAAAGTCGTATTACTCTAATTCACAGACGAGGCCCCTCTGTTCCCATCAGGTGTAATTGGGGAACAGTTTAAGCTGTTTTACCATGGTGTGGATAGGAAGATAAATGGAGGAGAGGTGGTCCTGAAGGAGGAGAAGTTTTCAAGGAATGTAGTGTTCAAGTTCAAGTTGTGTTTATTTGTCATATGCAAGGTTAACACAAGACACCAAAGTCCATGCTCAATAATTCAGGTATAAAATCCAACCATGTTCAGTCAAGTCATTTAGACTGTTTCTTTTTTTGTGCTGAGACATTTCGTCCTCCATCCGAAGAGCTTCATCACACACAAGTTTAATACAGGGTTAACAGTACAATGAAATGCTTAGGCTGAGAAGAGCCAAGTGGACTCGTTAAAAAAAAATCAAAGAACAAACAAACAAGAAATACTAAAGCATGCAATAAGGGTACAAAAAACAAAGTACCAAAACGTGAAAAAGTAAGTAAGTAAGTAAGTATCACATAATTAACATATACTATACATGTTGTGTGACAGATTATTGCATAGGTAGTGAGTGATACTGAGATTGAATTATGATGGTAAAAATGTGAAGGTGAAAAGTGTGTAAAATAGGATGATGGGTCTGAATGTGGACGTAAAAAGCCTGATGTTGAATGTTGTTAGTGGCTGTGACAAATTTATAGCGAGTATTCCCAAGGAGGAGGGAATGGTGATCGGAGGAGACCTGACTATGCAGTATAAGGATGAGAAATGGCTGTAGTCAATACCTATTTCCCAAAGAGGGAGGAACACATGATGACATACTAGAGCGGAGGCAGGAGAATCCAGTCATGGCTAAACACATCCAGGGCATTATAGCACTACAAAAGATTAACATTATAAAAATAAGAATTTCCATAACAGTAGATATGAAGACTGTAAGGTTGCGGCAGGGAGAGCGTGGTCAGACAGCATGTAATGGCAGTGTGTAGGATGAGTGTTGTGGTAAGCAAAGGGAAATTAGTAAAGATAAATAAGAAGACCAAATAGTGGAAGTTGAGGAAGGAATTGTATTTTGAAGAGTTCGGAGAGGAGCTGTTTAAGGCTCTGGGTGGCAGGAAACAAACTTGCATTTGACTGAGCTACTAAAACAACAGTAACTTGCGGGACAGGTTGGAAGGTACTTGGTATGTCTGGATAAAGAATAGGAAGGAAGTTATCCAGTGGACAAGTTTAGCTAAGAAAACAATGAGACAGAGGACTGAAGAGAGTAAACAGAAATATTAGCAAAGAGGAAAATAGAAAATGCTTAACAGTCTGTGCATTGTGAGGTTGGACTGAGAGAGAAAAGGACTTGTATCAACCGGTAAGACAGAGGGATCAGGCTGGAAAGGATGTGCAGCAGGTTAGGTATGTTCTAAAATAGGAATGGCAATGTTCTAACAAGCTAGGAGAGGTTAAAGTGAAAATGGAAGAAGTACTATGAAGAACTAACAAATGACGAGAATGGAAGTGATAGAAGAGTAGAAGACATAGAAGTTGTGTACCAGAAAGTGGGAAAGATTAGTGAGGATGAAGTCCAGAAAACTTTGAAGAGAATAGAGAAGGGTAAGTCAGTTGGAACTGACAACATACTAGTAGAGGTCATTGAAAATGCCTAGGAGAGATGGCATTGAGGATTTTGACCTGATCATTCTAAGGCATCTGTGCGAGTAACAGCTGGTTCAAAATGCTGCTGCTTGTTTTTTAATTGTTACCAAAAATTAGAGCAAATCACCCGTTTTACCATCAATACACAGGCTCCCTGTTAGTTTCTGTGTTGGTATCAAAGTTCTTTTGTTTATTTATAAATGTTTTCATGTTCTTGCTCCAAAGTTTTTGTCCATCCTGCTCAAGCTGTATGTTCCATCACGCTCTCGCTGGTCAGCAGATCAGTTACTTTGATCGTCCCAAAGTCAAAAGGGAGGTTTAGAGATAACAAAGCATTTTCAGTCACTGCTGCTAAACTGTGGAATGAGCTGCCTTTGCACATTAGACGGGCCAGCTAATTTCTTGTTTGAGTCTTCTTTTATAACACAATTTTCTCTTTTAACTGTTCAGTATTTTTCAATTTTATTTGATTTAATTGTTTTTATACTCGTTATAACTTTCGTGATTTTTAAATTTTTGTGTTTTACTTTGTCCTTTTATGGGTTTATAGAACTTTAGCCTATGGTGTTGTTTTTTTAAGTACAGAGAGGATGAGGAAGAATTTCATTGTGTCTGTGGATTCACAAAAAGTATATGACAGGATGCTGAGGAAGGAGATGTGCGGTGCGGTTGTCCCTGTTTGGGGACTCTCAGGGCTCCGGGCTTGGGGGCCGCTGTGTCTGTGGCTCCGGTTTCCCCTATGTCGCCATCGTGTCCTGTGGGGACGGTTCTGTGGGTCCCCACACCCACTATTGAATATTTTTACGACGAAACCTTACTCACACAGGTGTTTAGATTCAGGTTTTCATCAGATACACACTCAGTTGGGTTGAGGTTGCCTCTGGGGTGTAACGGTTCACTAAAATCACATTTTGGTTCGGTTCAGTTTCAAGGAGGGCTTGGTTCGGTTAATTTTCGGTATGCCAAGTAAACAAGTTCAGTCATTACAGACTTCTTAGCTGGAGGTGATCTGATGGATGAAGAAGACTCAACTGCTGTCATCCTCAGACCGCAAACACAGATTTAAAAAATTGAGTTAATAAGATTATAATTTTAAATTAAAAAAGTTAATTAGATCACAATAAACATCTCTTCTTGCACGATCATCATATGAGGTGGTTGAATATTCTCTCTTGCTCATCATCAATGTAGCAGGGCTTTAAATCTGGGGTCGGGCTTGTTGACAATATCAGTTTTAGCTTTTTCATAAAGTGCTGGTACAACTTTTTGGCTGAAGTGTTGACAAGATGATGTCATAGGCAGCAGGGCTCAAGAACTTTATGCTTAAAGCCGGCGCATCAACAACATTCGGACGTAGATCCAGCGCTTTAAAAACTCCTACAGCTTGTGTTATTGCTTTGGACCGATCTGAATTACCTGATAACGATTGTTTAACTGCTGTTATCGGTCTTTGAACCAAACTACATTCACATTCGGATGATGTCGTTTCAAGAGCGTTAACATGTTAGACGTGTTGCTGCTGCAGATCCTTGTCCCTTTGAAGAAAAAGAAGTAGCTATAGAACCCCAGAACCCAAAAAGGCAGACTTTATAATGAATGTAAAACTTTATTGTTGTTGTCCCACCCAATCTTTTTGACCCCAAAATATGAATCTTTGTCACATTATTTGTTACCATTTCACAAAAGGGAAGATTGTGTCTTTGGAAACATCTGATTCTGTTATACTCTGGTGAACAGGTAGCTTTTAATAAATGTTTCATGGCAAACTCTAGACGCGCAGTAGTGAATATACTTCATTCTTTTGTCTTTCCAGTGGACTGTCAGTGGTCTAGCTGGTCAGCGTGGAGTCCATGCTCAGCCAGCTGTGGTACTGGACAACAGACCTCCACCAGATCTGTTCTGCAACCTAGTCAGTACGGAGGGGCCCCATGTGAAGGCTTCAACCTACGCACTACAACATGCATTGCTCTTGACTGTGGTGAGTGAAGCCAGGGAGACGTAATGCCTAATAAATGATCATTGATACTGATAATAACAAATATTTCAAACAATATGGCACCTCAAACACAATCAGATTAAAGGCTTAGCATCTCTTGAAGGAACACATATATTCCATCGAAATGGCAAGTTTCATTAAAAGTCATTCAATGGTTCAAATACATTTTGCTAACACAACAAACACATACAGACACAAGCAAAAACATCACTTTTTCACATTTACCAGTGGGTTATAGTAATGTGTAGATTTATATTTGAGCAAATGTCACATTTTGTTTGTGCTGGGCCTCAGCATTTCTTTTTACTCACAGCATATGAACTAGGAAAGAATATCTGCCACGTTGACAATATATTTTCTTGTTATATGGAAAATGCTCTTTATTATTGCTATTTTGAGATTTTTAGTTTTTTTAACACTCTTAAATAATGATTTTATTCACACTCTTTGTAATAATACATTTTAAGGGGGAGTGTTAGCGCAGAGGTTAGACAATGCAAGCCTGTGATTGGATGGTCGCCAGTTCAACTCCCCGGACCAACAACATAAAAAATGTGTGTGGGAAATGTGAAACGCCCACACCTGCCTCCACCCTCATTTGCCCCACTCTGGACCATTGATCAAGGCCCTTAACCCCCATCATCTGCTCCCCCGGGTGCTCTAGATATCACCTCTCTGCTCCACACAGAGGACTGTGGTTGTGTCAGGAAGGACATCTGGCGTAAAAACAATTGTCAAGCTTTCATGCAAATTAGTTCACTGTGGTGACCCCTGAAGGAGGGAGCAGCTGAAAGAAGCAGAAAAAAAAAAGTTTTATGAAGAGGTGCATTTCTGACACTCAAGGGCATCGAACAAGCAACTCATACATGTGAAAAACATCAAGATACTAAAATATGCATTATCCATCCATTATATTTTGCTCGCATTTACTTTTTGGGTCAATGGGGTCACTGGTGCACATATCCAGCAGTCACTGTGCAGAGGTGGGGAACACCCTGTATAGGTTGCACATCCATCACATGGCTAATAAAAAAAAGCAGCAAAAGAAGACTGAAACAATGAGGATTAAAATCAGCTTGGATAAGCAATCCTGAACTGATGAGTTTTTAGTCTGGCCTTTAAAAAAAAGTGTGAGAGAGAGACCGCAATGATAAGTTTGACCTGTAACCAGTCGAGCTTGTAAAGCCCTTGCTTGGTGTCATCCATGTAACAAAGGAAATGGATGTCGTATTGTCATATTTGCAGAAAATGTAACCAATATGAAGGAGGTAAGAGGAGGGTTCCAAGGACAGAGCCCTGGGGCACACTAATGGTTACGGGGGATGGCTTGGAAGCAAAAGAATGAAGTTGAACCAACTGAACGTGACCAGAAAGTTATGATTTAAACCAACCAAGGTGGGTGTGAGAGTTGCCAGAGGAAATAATTGTATGGAGGAGGATGGAGTGAAAGATGGTGTCGAAGGCTGCAGTCAGGTCAAGGAGAGCACACCTGTCTGCCATCTTCACAGTCCTCACAATTAATCCTGTTTCTGTACTCACAATTATTTTCACTTTCCCTTTCTTTCTCCTCCCTACATGTCCTCCTGTCCAGTATGTCCTGATGGGGAGCACTGGAGGAGGAGTGTGTCAGAGGACGTCCCACTGTGTGAGAGGAGCTGCCAGGACATTTACTCCCCCTCTCCTGTCAACTGCAGCCACTCCGCTGAGGGATGTGTGTGTCAGGAGGGACTTTACAGAAACCAAGAGGGTGTGTGTGTCATCCCCGCCCTATGCCCCTGCCATGAACAGGAGATTGTGTGGGAGGTACAGTACACACACACACACACACACACACACACACACAGAGTAAACAAACACCTGATGCCCAGCAAACCTGGCAGCTTGTACGCAGTGACAGGCGTCATTGTGAAGTTAGCTTGAACCGTAGCATCAGTAAGGTGTTTATGTTCCATCCCATTCATGCTCATTGTTTATTTACCCATAAAGAAGAGCCTGTTAGATGACGAGTGATAAGCCCCAAGGGCCACATTACACCACGAGGCTTCTCCATTTCCTCAACCTCATCAATTATATAAAAGACCTGTAGAAGGCCTATGTTCTGACCGCAACTGGGTAAAGCCTACAAGGAATTATTTATGAACAGGATAATATAGGCTTATAAAATTAATTATATATTGACAAGAGATCGAGTCCCCTTCTTTTAAGTTTTGTTTTCTTTCTCTTTCCCAATTTATTTTTTCTGAAGGATTTTTTTTGTTTGTTTATTAATCATTTCATTCCACCGTTTATGTTATTTTTTCTTACCATCTGTCTCTGTAAATTCCTACCTTACTCCTCTTGTTGCTTATTTTTTAGCTTCTGATGACTAAAGTTCTTGTTAAAACTTTTATGGCTTTTTATGAACATGGACCTCAACTCATCATATGGCTCAGAGTGAGCTGGAAAAGCACACTCTAGCAGGTGCTTTTGTTGAACCTGGTTGTCAAACATACAGATGCATTGCTTGCTAATTAGATTACTGTACTGTTAGCTTCAAGATAGATAGCATACAGATAGCTTCATAATGACCATGTTAGTTAAAAACCATAACATTGCAGTTGGAATGCTTACAAAATTCACAAATAAATAAACAAAATGTCAGAGCTGTCACCAATTGCATTTCTTGTTTAGGCATCAACCCCATAGGCAAATGTCAAAAGTGTCCTTGAGTAATATAAATAAGTCATGTGTGTGTTTTGTGAGCCAGGCAGCATCTGAGTGGGAAGATGGGTGTCTGTCATGCAGCTGTGTGAACGGGAAGAAACTCTGCCACATGAGGTGTCCTCCACTCTACTGTGATGAGGTGAGACACAAATTCCTAAAGCCTTGTCTGTCAATCATATTTGTGCAAAACATTTTTAACCTAAACATATTTGGGGCTTATTGTAATTGTCTCAGAAACTAATAGTGATACATGTTTTGTTGTTGTTTTAATATTTTAACTTATTGTTGTAAAGGAAGAATAATTTATTATTAATTATTATTATTAATATTATTAGACCTTTATTTATACAGGTTAGTTCCCATTGAGCTTCGAAGACTCATTTACAAGAGAGACCTGATTACATTTAACATACAGGCAGATGAGAAAAAGAGAATGCGAGGGTGGAGGAAGCCAAAAATAAATCACGTCTCACATATCCTAAATAATAGTATAAAAGATGCAAAAAAAGACTTTGAAACATAAAGCTACAACATACTATGACATCATAATACGTTTATGCATAGGAGGTCAATAAAGCCAGTAAGTTATCCATAAACACTTCAGAGTTCCAAAGTTCTGATAAGATGGTACAGTGTCTACCAGCATCGTGGTTCTGATAAGGCCACAGATGTCCCCGGGAGGGGCGGGGTGGGACAGGCAGAGCTTCTAGTTTATGTATCCTCCAGGAGAAATTTGAGATAAGTTGGCCTGTCCAAGGCCAGCGAGGAGGCCAAATTCAGATAAACAATTGTTTGGTCCACCAGACTCTGTTTTCTGTCTGTCTTCAAGTTCTGCTGGTACAACTCAGTGGTGAATCCAAACAGCCAGAATCAGTGGACATTCCACCAGGTCTGTGCTCTATTTAGTATTCTCCAAGATTCAATCCTTCATGCTGGCGAGTTCCAGGAGCCGCAAATTAAAGCTGTCATTTCGAACCCGAAACCCGGCCCAGACCGACCAGGATTAGGGCCGGGCCATTATAATATGATTAATGGGCGGGCCGGTCTCAGGCTTTTAATTAGGTCAGGATCAACCGCGATCCAATTATATGATTACATGGCCTGCCATACCTCCACCAGCCACACGAGGCCATTTCATCACGAGCTGACCGACCTTGAAAGAGGTAAAGAGTTCAGTTAAGCTTCAGATGGGACTGTACTGCCAGGAAGTGATCCATCGCCCAAGTGGACGTTCATTCAACTGCTGCACTCAGCAAACGTGGACGGCCTATGACCCAAACAGGTGAGATCACAAAGCAGACATGTCAGAGCTGTCCACATGTCTCAGTAATTCATAAGAATGCAGGCAGAAATGGGTTTTAAATACTTTTTGACGGCCATGAAAGTACAAACACCTCTCAGCTCCGAATCTTATGCCGCTTTTATTCAGCTGCGCGTCTCCGACCATTAATAACTAATTAAAAATGTCGGGGTTTTTTCCGAGTTCGGACCTGTAATTACTGTTAATTTGTCGGGTTGGGTGGGGTTTGGAAATTATGACTGTAGTTTGGGGCCGGATCGGATTAGATTTGTTGGGCCTGAATGCAACTCTACCGCAAGTGGCCTACAATTCTCAGAAATTGTGTCCAGCTTGTGGTGGATCTTGATAAGCATATGAGTTTGAGAGCTCAAGGCACGGATTAATCCTTCACATAAGGCTGGCAGCTTTATCATGGCCAAAAATGCTGCCGACGTCTTCCTAATTTGTCGATATCCAAGGTATCCACCGATTCCAAAAAGCAGAAACCCTGTTATCATAAATCCAATAATGTACACATCTTCTACATCCTCCATGGACAGCACAGATAGGCACATCATCTTCCACTCACTCCAGGAACCAATGGCATACCCAGCTGTGTGGGTCCGTTCAAGGCATGAGGGCTCTCCAGCATCCTGTTGTCTAGTGAAAAAAAAAATATCAATAGCGTTGAGGGACCAGCTGACCAATTCCATAATAATTTTATATTCAGAAGATGTGTAAAGAGAGGCTCTGAGGTTGACAGGACAAGGGAGCAAAATAGCAGGAGGGATGGAGGGAGGGCAAGTGCAACCATCTTCGTTGAAGGTGAAAGAGAGAATGAATGTTAACAGTCTGGGAATAATTTCCCTATACATATTTACATATAGCAATATGTAAATATGTATAAGGGGGAGTGGTGGTGCAGAGATTAGAGAAGGTGGGCCTGTGGTCTGAGGGTCGCCGGTTGAACTCCCCGGACCGACAGCATCAAAATGTGGATGGGAAAGGAGAAGCAACCACACCTGCCTCCACCCTGATTTGCCTTTCTCTAGGCCCTTGAGCAAAACCCTTAACCTCCACCGTCTGCTCCCCCGGGTGCCCTAGATAGCATCTCTCTGCTCCACACAGAGGGCTGTGGTAGCTCGGTGGTCTGTGGTTATGTCAGGAAGGACAGCCAGCTTAAAAACAATTGCCAAGTCTTTGTGTGAGTTAGATCGCTGTGGCAATCCCTGAAGAAGGGAGCAGCTGAAATATTTTTTTTATTTTACATATAGCAATAAAAAATGGTAATTACTAGAATAACCTCAGTTGAAATGTAAAAAATTTCAAACTATTTTTACCAATTCATGAAATTTATGAATTAGCAAAAATGAAAAATTTAATTTTAAGCATAATATGTAAACCGATCATTTATTTAGCTACTTGGGTCTGAATTCCAACAGTTGTAATAGTTTGCAAAAGTATTAAGTCATTTGTTTTATTTATTTTTTTACAAACATGAAATTTGTTGGATTTTAATTTGAATATTAAAATCAAATTCAAAGTAATGTACTTATTAAAATTACTCAAATTTTGCTAAATGTAATGGGGAAAATACTTTGTTAATAACTCTAAAATATGTCAAATAAAAAATTGGTGCATACATTTTCTATTCAGCCACTTGGCTTTGAAGAGAGTACTACCTTCAGAGGTTTTTTTTTATTAGTTTAAAGCAATCCAAGTGTCTGAAGATGTCAGTATATTTATAAATACTTGTTCTGAGAGCCCCTAAAATATATCACTGGTTCAGTACCCCCAACTAGCAAGAGCTACCTCCAAGCAAGAGACAGCATGAAGACCAAGGAACTCTCCACACAAGTCAGGGGCAAAGTTCTAGAGAAGAACAGATCGTGGGCAGGTTTTAAAAATATTCCAACGCTCTGAACATCCCACAGCGCTCCATTAACATCAACATTAGGGAAACTGGCAAGATGATGTCACCACAACAAACCTTTTTGAAGCGGTTCATCCATCAAGATTATGTACAGGCTAAGAAGGACACTAACCAGAAAAGAGTGCAACCTTGTGCCTAGAGACCAAACCATTGATGAGCTTGGCAGCTCTACTGCAGAAATGGGTATATTTGTTCGTAGGACAGCTATAAACTGGACAGAGCTGGGATTCATGTAAGAATGGCCAAGAAAAAAATCCAATGACCAAAAATAATATGGCAGACTGTTTGGAATTTACTGATAGGCTATGCAAAGAAGTGGAAGGAGGTGTTGTGGTCAAAGGAAACTAAAATCCAGCTTGTTGGCCAACATTAACCATACCATTCTTATCATGGTCTGTTGAGGATTAGGGCCCAGGATACAGACAGGTAAAAGGAGCCCAAAGTTTAAAATAAATAAACTTGTTTAATTAAATAACAAATGAAAACAAAGGGCTGACGTGGCATCAACAACTTACAAAAATCTCAGGGATTTCAAAAACCCATGTAGCAGAAGGGAGACAAGGAAGATCGGGACATCTGGCAGGGAGCCAATACAATGAGCCAATGGTGACATGAGACTGTTTAAGTAGGACAGAGAGTAAGTGGAAAGTGGAAGCACCTGGGATGATTGATAATTAAGGACTGGTGTGAGTGATAACTGATGTTGAGGCTGACTGAGGGTGAAAGTGAGGAGTGTAAGACTGGCACAGGGAGCACAGGGGGCTGAAATCAAAACACAAGGAACAGAATAATATAAACCATAAAGAGAAATAAACTAAAATAACCAAAAAGACACAGACTATAACAATTCTGTGTTCAAATCTATCACGTCTCATTAAGCTGAATGCCATCCCCACAGTGAAGCATATTGTTGGCAGAATCATGTTGAGAGGATGATTTTCATTTGCAATGACTGGAAAATTGGTGGACAAAAAAAAAGATGGACAAAACAAGTTCAGATTCATTTTTTTGAGAGGAACTTGAATTATTGTAGCTATTTTAGATCAGGATCACTTTCTAGCAGTACAATGACCTTAAACACTGCTGCTATGTTGATATCAGATCCAGTTATATGCCTTGAAATTGCCCAGGCAAATTGTAGACCTAAATCCAAACTAGAATCTCTGGTAAGATGGTTGCTTGATGTGTGCAAGTGGTTCCCATCAAACTTGGAAGAAATTGAACCAGTGGCTACATCGAGGTATAAGAAAGGTTCCTTCTGAAAATTGGGTTGTCACTTCAAATCCAAAGAGGCTGCCACCAAAAATCTCCATCCATGTTGTTAGCTTGTTGTGAGCGTGGTAACTTAAAAAATAAGTGAGGTACTGATTTCCATTTCTGCGTGTTGCTACATCTCGGTGAATGAAAGGTTCCTTTGAAAAATGGGTTGCCATGTCAAAATCCAAGATGGTCACCACCATAAATCTCCATCTGTGCTATGAGCATGTTAACTTGAAAAATAAGCGAGGTACCTACTTGCATTTTGTTGTGTGGCTACATATATGTGTTAGAAAGCTTCATTTTGAACCCCGACACCCCGAGTTAGGGAGACCATCATGCTGAAGAAGTCCTATTGTATCTGAGGGGTATTAGTGGGGCCAAGCAAGCCATAGAACACTGGACCAGTTCTTTACCTTCACTAAGGTTCTTGAGGGGTCATGGGAGTTGGCTCATCCATCTACAAAGTAGTCTACATGAGTTTTGTGGACTTGAAGAAGGCATTTGACCATATTCATCCACCTCGGTTAGTTGGAGTTAGAGAGGACAGAAAGAGTCACAAACACATGACCTCTCCTATCTCTTGTCATAATTCTGAACATTGAAAAAGTATATCAGTATAAATATTTAGGATTTTTAATAGATGATTCTTTGTCTTTTACTTCCCACTTTCAACTGCTGGTGAAGAAACTAAGATTAAAACTGGGATTTTACTTCAGGATCAGATCCTGTCGATCTTTTGAGGCTAGGAAGCGACTGGTTGATGCTACTTTTATGTCTGTACTGGACTATGGTGACAATTTATGCATGCATGCTCCTCTTAAATGTCTTTATTCACTTGATACTGTTTATCATGGAGTTTTAAGATTCATAACAGGTTAAAAAGTTTTACACATCATGGCACTTTATACAACCGGGTTGGATGGACGTCCTTGGCCACTCGTAGACTCCGCCATTGGCACATTTTTATTTATAAGGCCACACTAGGACTTCTTCCTTCGTATCTGTTGGCCTTTATAAAGCGAAAGTCCACCGGAGGATTCTCTCTTCGTTGTGAGAACTTATTTTTACTTTTGGTGCCTAAAGTACAAACTGAACATGGAAAGAAATATTTTCAGATTTCTGCTCCATCTTCTTGGAACCAGTTGCAGAAATACATGAACCTAAAGGAGCTGTTGTCACTAAATGTTTTTAAAGCTGTTCTCACTGATTTGGAGAAGGAATCATCTGTAAATGTTTTAACTGAGGAATCTTTTACTTCATTTATTTATGACGGAGTTCACTTTTTCTGTGTTTGCTGTGAATGTTCTGTAACCTCTGTGCTGCTGCCAGTCTTGGCCAGGATTCTCTTGCAAAAGACATTTTAAATCTCAGTGGGATTTTTCTGGTGAAATAAAGGTTAAATAAAAATAAATAATAAATAAATTCTAGTATCAGCATTTTGGATCAACTGAACACGTTCTAAGGTTTTCCGATTTTTTTGTTTGTTTGATTAATTTTATTAAGTACTTGTTAATCTAAATAAAACAATTACTCCTGAAAATCAGTATCAGTCGAGACCATTTTTCACAGTAGCCCTAAAATTGCAGTTCAACCCCCCCCCCCCCCCCCCATAACTGTGTCTCTTATGTAGTTTTGTGTATTTGGGGCAAACAAATTGATTTGAAGTTTTTTTTATTATTTATTATTAAAGCCTTCTGTGTAGACAAATTACCTGATGAGAGACGTAAACAAAACCTACAATAGTATTTTTCGTCAATTAATAACTGTTCTGTTATTTAGTTTATCCAAAAAATGGCAAACCATATGTATATATACAATATATTTCTTAAAAAACAAACAAATAAACAGTGATGTTATTTCTCTCTCAGGGTGAAGTCAAGGTGGAGGAACCGGGTAGTTGCTGTCCAGTCTGCAGAAAGCAGTTCCCAGGTTCGAGGAATAAATCAAATGTTGACACTGTGTTAGTGAGCGTTTAGTGCATAAAAAGCACAAATTCATTGTCCTTTTAATCTCAAGCTCTTGACCACAACATTAAATATCTTATATTTAAACTGTGTATTGTCACACACAATGCTTTCTCAACAAGAGACATTTTAAAAATGGTTTGTTTTTTACTCTATTTGACGTGAAACAAACAGTTGTGTCATATTGAAACTCCCTAATGATGATGGGCTCCGAACCCCTTTACAAGACCTGAGTGCTCTATTCATTTTACAAAAGGCTAAAATCTCAGTGCTGCAGTCCCCAATTAGGGAGAGATTACATTACTTAGCCCACACTAGGGCTTTAATCTCATTCCCTGTAGAGGAAATGCCACTTGCTGTAAGAGATGACAACATCACTGTGCCTGCTTTTATTTAATCTGTCTGTCTTTTGCTTTCACTCTTTTATTTTATTGCAAAACATTGTTCTGTGGTTCTACTTTTTCTCCCTTATCAGATGTGATTTAATTTCCTCCTCCTCTCTTTCCATCAGAAGAGCCAGTGCCAGAGTGTCAGCGCTACGTTCAGGTTCGAAACATCACCAAGGGAGGATGTTGGCTTGATAACGTGGAGGTCAGCTTCTGCAGAGGACGCTGTCTGTCCAGGACTGATGTCATTCTGGAGGTGGGACAATAAGACATGAATACACACAGACTCCCCGCTGCTTAAACAACATTAAGCACTGGCTGTCTCAGAATTTTCTCCACCTACATGTAAATAACGATAAAACCGAATGGATTTTATTTGGTGCTTCCAGTAATTCATGCAACATCTCTCCCAGTCTGGGTTTTCCGCTCTCCCACTCCAACCAGGTGGTAAAAAATCTAGGAGTGGATCTTGACTGTAACTTGAAGTTAGATAAACAGATCAGTTCTGTTGTGAAAACCAGCTTCTTTCAGCTTCGTCTGCTTTCTAAAGTGAAGTCACTCCTTAGCCGTAGTGATCTGGAGAAGGCCATCCATGCCTTTGTGAGCTCTAGGCTTGATTACTGTAACGCCTTATATGTTGGTATTAATCAATCTTCTGTCTCCCGTTTACAGCTTGTACAAAACTCTGCTGCTCGCTTGTTGACTAACACACGTAAACATGAACACATCACTCCTGTCCTTTCTTCTTTGCACTGGCTCCCAGTTCAGTTTAGGACACAGTTCAAGCTGCTACTGTTTGTTTTTAAAGCTTTGAATGGCCTTGCACCACCCTATATTTCAGAACTTTTGAAAGTCCACCAGCCCAGCAGAGCTTTACGTTCTGCTGGTCAATATCTGCTGGATGTGCCTTGCTCAAGGTGCAAACAATGGAGGGACCGGTCCTTTTCTGTTGCAGGCCCAACAGCCTGGACCTAACCAGATATTAGATTTATGATGTTCAACACAACTCACATATACAGGACAAACCCTGTTTTGTATTGATTTGAAATGAGAAGCACAAGTTTAACGTCAAATACGGAACAATTTTGTATATTAAAGAAAGAACCCCCACCCCGCCCCTCTTGGATTTTTAATTTAAAAACAAAAACATATATTTGTTTAGACTTTTATTATGTTTTATTTTTCTAACTAATTTACCAGGTTTCTTCCAAGCAACTTGTCTTAAAAATATTCGTAGACTTTCTGGAACATTTGAAATAAATTTCCCGTTGTGAGGCTGGACGTTGGGGGAGTGGTGGCGCAGAGGTTAGAGAGGTGGGCTTGTGATCCGAAGATCGCCGGTTCACGCCCCGGCCATGACAACATCAAAAATTTGTGGGTGGGGTAGGTGAAACACCCACACTTGCCCCCACCCTCATTCGCCCCACTCTGGGCCCATGAGCAAGGCCCTTAACCCCCACCATGTGCTCCCTAAACAGGTCTCTCTTGAAAATGAGTTCTCGTGGCTCAATGAGACTAACCTGGATAAATAAAGGCTAAATTAAAAAAATAAAATAAAAAAATAAATCTAATCAGGTCCTTGTTTTTGTGCAATCATTCAAACATTTGCACAAAATTAAATAAAAAAAAAATACTAAAACTATATTTTTCTGTCATGGGTAGATAAAAAAAAAATCATGTTTATTTTGGTCAAACCTTCAAAGAGTGGTCACTGTGGGACCAAAGAGACATGTGTGGCCCTAGAGCCACTGGTTGAGGACCCCTGTCCTAGATAGATAACTTTTACCAATCAGTATTTTATAATGTACGCACATGTTTTAGTACAATCCCCTGAGATGACACATGTTGTGAATTGGTGCTATTTAAATCAATGGGATTGAATTAAAGTGAGTTTTTTTCTTTTGTCTTCTCTATATCCAGGAGCCCTACCTCCGGTCCGAGTGTGAGTGCTGTAGTTATCGTCTGGACCCAGATAATCCCGTCCGTTTCCTGAGTTTGCAGTGTGAAAGTGGAGAAAATGAGCCAGTTGTTCTACCAGTCATATACAGCTGCGAGTGCACCAGCTGTCAAGGTGAGGAATGATGCACACGGATGAATTTGCATGTCTCTCTCTAATGTCAGCATGAAAACTAGGCATTCAAATACACCAAAGTACACACTAACAGATCATTTCTACCAAATGAGCACACATGGAAAACTCAGAAATGGTCATTTAGTGTTTAGTGTAATTTGATAAATAAACCCAGTTTTCCATAAAGTTGCCTTCACTAATAATAAATAAAGGAAACAGACACAAAATTAGTGATGTTATAAATTTAGGATCAAGATTAAGTTGGAAAAACTTGAGCTGCACTCAAATGAACGGTTGAAAATATATTGCAAACAGTAACTTAGTCATCTGACAGCTATTTTGAATAGGCCAAAAT